AAAGACCTTCCTATGAATACCTTAAATGTGGGGGAATAGATTCAAGTGTTAGCAAATTACTTACAAAAGACCCAACATATATATACTTTTAAGGACTTGACATTGGAAACAACTACTCTCGTAGCCAACATAGCTAATGAATCAACAGGGCGGAAACCTAACTTAGTTGATTGGCGATCTATGGTCTAAATTCAATAGGCAAACTGGTTGGGCATGATTCAAAGAGTTAACACACTATATACCTCATTCCTATGATGGAAGAAGTGTGTTATCTGCAGAAGTTATAGGTTGTGTATTTATACTTAATGACAATGATATATTAACAATAAAAGGAATATAGCAAACTATTCTTAATCAGTGGTCACCTATATGAGAGTATAAGTGGGTCGTTTCTATGAGAATGAGATGATTAAATTCTCTAAAGCTCTCATGAATTCGGGATTTGTTCGGGACCAAAATGAACACAACCGTATGAACCGTAATATATTAGGATTAGTGATGTGCGTTGCTTATTGTCTTAGTTTACTACTGCGGTGAACAGTTCAAGATTCAATATCCACTGCGTCCCCAAGTAAATCCGATAAGTATTCACTAAGGTAGGTTTAAGTCCAAAAGACACATCTCCTTATGCATCTCTTGTTCGCATGTACTTTCAAATTCTTCTAATTTTTTATTCATGTGGGGGATTGTTGGAAATTATATATTATAATATGAAATATTGTTATATATAATTTTAATAATTGAATGAAAAATAGTGTTAACCATATTTCATAAAAAAAAAAGTTATGTTGTTTTGCATTCTCTTGCTAAATGATATATACTTATAGATGAAAAATTACATCTCTTTAACAAGAAGTACTTGAGTTCTATGTAAACTCATGCAACCATATGTGTTAAGAAGAAAAAATTAGAGTTCATTTTTACTCTTGAGAAATAAGGTTTCTCCACTTTATTTATCTCATTTTTCGTTTGTCAAATTCTAAGTCATGTCTTGAAAGTACGGAATATATAAATTCGCCAGAGTCCGAAGATTGAAGTGCTTCGACTTCGGATTATAGATTGTTGAATCCTGGGAGACGGACGCCTACCAAACTATAAGCACAAGAGTAAGGACGAAATTCTGTCTTTAGTACATTACATTTTTGCAAGCCTCAATCTCCAAGTTTGTCAGTTTTTCTAACTTTCTCTCTTGTTGTTTATATTAATCTCAAACATAATTGATGTTGTGATTTTCTTTAGATTATAATCATTGGAATTATATTATTATTTATCATATTTTCTAATATTACTCCAACAACACTCACCAATTGTTTTCAACAAATGCCTTTTATTTGTACTTCCCACTAATCCTAGCTAGTCACATGATACATTATGGGTGTTTAAATATCCTAACCCAACTTCAACTAACACTGAGGCCTTTTGAGATAATACTCCACACCTGAAGGATTGTACAAGTGGTAATTACCAAGTTGGTGACAGTATCGGTGTTGTTGGAAGTGGGCCAAGGGCCTGTCCCTTGATAATTCAACATGGTATCAGAGCCAGGGAGCGAGCTTGTATTGTACTGCCATGTGATGGATGGATCCCCTTGGCCCCGCGCAATGATGGTGGGTCCATTGGCACTACATGTAGGGTGAGTCTCCTTGGCTCCACGATGTGTGGATCTCCCACGCGTGACCCACTAATTAGGTCCCACGTGAGCAAGCGTGTTGAAATGTCCCACATCGACCGTATCAATGAAAAAATCCACTCCAACTAACACCGATGCCTTTTGTGATAAAACCCCTCACCTGACGGATTGTGCAGGTAGTAATTATCAAGTTAGAGACAATATCAGTGTTGTTAGAAGTGAGCCAAAGACCTGTCTCTCTGAGAATTCTACAACAACCAATCAATTTGGGCTTGAAACAAAACAGAAAGACCCAAGTATTTTATTTTGCAATGCACATGCACGTCTTTTATTTTATTTTTCTCAGTCCCAAACAATATGCAAGTCAATTTAGTCATGTCCTTTATCGATCCACGCAGATTTCAACTACAAGTTGGCTTTAACAGATAAATGGTGTGTTTCAACCTTCACTTGATTTGAAATTGAAATGGTTACAGAGGAACAAGGGTAGTTTTGTTAAGGCCGAACCCATGAAATGCCGTGGGCTTTGGATCTTGATCACTCACACTCATGTCACAAATAAGAAAGAAAAAAAGTAAACTAGGCTGAACCCATAGAACTTGACCAATTGGATCGGTGGTAATGGATTACAACAATGACAAACCGAGCATATAAGGTCGGCTTGGCTAGCCGTTCGGGGTTCTACTGGAGGCGACCTACCTAATGCCCACCCTTGGAGCTAGGGTTAGTTTTTGGCTATGTAAGATGGGAATATATGTACATGAGAGGAGGAGGAGGTGAAGGAGGATGATTACTTCAGCTTTTTAGGCTCCACTTCAAGTTATGGATTTTTTGAATATTTTATTGCACAACCCGTTAACTCGACACAACACAAAAATAACAGATTTTGGTTTAATTCTTTAACGAATTGGGTTGTTAGCAAATCACGTGTTAATAATATTTTTTTTAACAAACGATATAATATCTATTAAGGGGAGGGAGATAGGCTTGGTCTCACAATGGGCTAACAATAATGTGGTTCAAATTCGCCTTTGACGAGAATCGAACCTACGACCTCTCACTTACAAGTAAAGAGGAATACTACTAGACCGTAAAACTAAATGGCAAGAACATGTTAAGATAACGAGTTTGACATAAGACCATCCATTAAGATAACGAATATGATATGAAACACGACAAACAAAACCCGTTTGTAAGTCTAATTTTAAGGCATACGATGCCATTCTAATCTCTCTCTCAATCATTAGTCTCAAAGGCATAAGGTTTAGTTATTAAGGAATGGGCTATAACTACTGAGATATATGGGATGATAAATGCTCGTAAAGAGTAGTACAAAGACATGTGAGAGGGATTATAAAATCCCTATGTGGAAAAAAATTATGGAGTAATTAGGTTTTCATCCTTATTTTTACTACTCTATTGATTAAAACCTTATTATTTTTCAATTTTTGATCAAGGTCCTTTGTATTAATAATATCATTAATTATTTCAATAATAAAATATTTTTTATTTCTAAATATATTCATTTAATATTAAAAATGTTACAATTAGTATATTTATTCTTATGGCTAAATTTTTTATCATATATTTTTATTTTTAGTTTGTACCCATTTTTAATTTGCAACCCCTTTTTAATTTGTACCAATTTTCCTTTCAGTTTTAATTTGTACCCATATATTAAATTCTTTTTGTGCCCATATTTTTTAAAGTTTTATTTGTATTGTACCCATATTTTTTTATTTATTTGTACCCATTTTTATTTTTGCTAAATGTACCCATTTTGAAGAATGTACCCATGTTTTGATACAATAATTTTTTGGTTATTTTTATGAATGTACCCATGTTTACACACACACACACACACACACAATAGTATATTTATATTTTAATATTTTTAATCCCACAAATTATGGTTTTTTATTTAAAATCTCATTACTATAAACAACTATAAATTTTAATTTTTAATTTAAAAAATATAGTAACGTACATAGAAATAAATTATCAATTAATTTCAGGGACTTGGATCAAAAATTGAAAACCAATAAGGTTTCAGTCAAAGATTGTTCATAACTAGGGACCACATCCAAAGTCTCCCAAAAATTATTTACACGTTATTCATACATGCTTTTGCAACGATCATCAAGAGCATTTCTAATCGTTTTATGTAAGGGAACTTTAACGAATAGCTCCGAGTACTATTTACTTTAATGAAAAATCATATTTTTACACTAAAAAATCAATCATGATATTATTCACTTTATCCTTTATTTTATCATTATCATTAAATCTCAATTTTCAAATATTTTTTATTAATTTTCCTTTTATGGTAATAGTGTATAGTTCATTCCCCACTAACTTGACCTCATTTCCTTGGAATTTGAAAATCCCTTACCGAAACATAGCATTGGTGCCATATTACCATAAAGAGGGAACTTTGGGTTTATGTGTGCATAACAGGCATGCATGAAAAAGGAGGCAAATGGTATTTGCCTAGTTTTCTTTTATATATTCAGGCTCCCTTTTTGTTAAGCAATGAGTCTCCCTTTTTGTCTATTTGGTATTTAGGCTCTATGGTATTTGTCAAGGTTTTTTTGTCTAGTGGCATTTATAGATTCTTCAAACAGATAAGCTCAGTCTTTTGTTCCAAAACACACACCTAGATAGTCCCTAATTATATTGTATATAAAAAGGCTTTATTTATTAAATTCAAACTCTTGGATGTAGGAAAATGAAATTTAAGGTATGTTTACTTGCCATGAAAGTAAATGACAAGACTAGACTCGATCTCAAGTGTTACCACTCTCTAGTAGTATTTTTCTTCATTTGTAAGTGAGATGCTTTAGGTTTGATTCTCGCAAAGACAAATTTGGACCATATTATTGCTAGCTCATTGTGAGACTTAGCACACTCTCTTACCCATCAATGTAGATAATATCGTTTATTAAAAAGTCTTTCGTATTTCTAAATTTCTAATCCATATTCATGTGCATTTACTAATGAGTGTGCTTAATATTTTTTGCAATTGATTCAGAATTTAATTGCATGAAACCCAGTATTTATTTTCTCTTATATATTATAAAGATAGCAATTAACTCTAATTTTTCCAAAAAATAATTCGCATATATAGAACGAAAGAATTGGACAGCAGGTACTAGTGATGAGCGGAGGCAAAGGTCATGGGCGAATTTGATTAATTTGAAACATGAGGGGTCAAAATGAAGAGTAAGTCAAACTTTAGGGACTATTCAGGATAAAATCAATAGTGTTCATCCTTCTTATTAGTACTTTCTTAGGACTGCAACTTCTCTGATAAAACTTCTTGTTTCTGCATCCTTTGCACTTTTCATAACTTACTGTTTGAGTTCGTAAAGTTCGATAACACGTGGATTAAGACAATTGGGCTTGCAAAGGTATTAATAAATTAGAACTATTTCAAAATAAAAAATCACAAAAAATTAGATCTTTTAGGTTATAAAATTTGACCTAGGTTATAAAAATTAGATATATTCGCTGCAAAATCAAATGTATGAGTTTGTCCGACTCCGTCAAAACGCGAGCGGTTCCCTTCGAAGCTTGGCGGCTGTGGCACCACATTTGGATTCCTACTCCTACCTGCATTTGTGAGAGGCATAAATCCTAGTCTCCTAGCACCGCCTACACCACCGCAGCTCAGACTTGTTCTCTCATCTCTGACGCACGGCCTCTCAGTCTCTCTAGATGCTCCACTATTTGTTCGCGACTTCAGCCTGTCTCACCTGCTTCCAGTGACCTCTCATCCAGTTCCTTTCAGCTTTCAGGTTCATTATGCTCTTTGGGTTTCTGAATTTGGCTTTTACTTTCTTGACTTTCTTGGAAATAATTTGCATCCCCTACTTAGAGACGATTGGGTGAAAGGTCGAAACCTTGTTTCTTTTGCCCCTTGTGGGGATTGAAAACTATACCCTACAAATTCAGCTCCTTCAAATACAGAATGAAATAAAAAATTAGAATGGAAAAGATTTCACTCTATATTTTGTTTAGTAGAGATTTCGGTTAGTATTAAGTTCAACAGCGGGTTGTTTCCTCACTCTAACAAGTAAACAAGTTATATGAAGTTAATGAAACATTTCACAAGAATATTTCACAAAGCTATCAACCAATATTATCAACTACTCAAACCGCCCGGTTCGTTATTACATGTTTCCCAAATGATTTCGAAACCTAGTTTAATTTACTTCCCCCCTTTCATCTTTGGCATAGAAAACTATAGCTCAATGGAGTGGGCAATGCACATAGTAGAGGAAGTCCAGCAAGAAAGGAACCGCAATAATCTTCCTGAAAAGGTAAGCAAATGTTTACTTATAACCATAATGTGTTGTGGCTATTGTTGATTAATGTCATGTACCCTTGTATGTTATTGCAGGTATTTTGTGCAAGTGTTATTCCTTACTGGTACAAGTTCAAAGAGGGCGCATCCGCATTTGATGGGTTAATGCGATTAGGCCACAGCAAAGAAAAAAAGGTGACATATCCTTAAACACAGGCCTATAGCATTGTCGCAAACACCTCGGGCTTAAATCACCACGCAATCCTTAAGGTTTGGTTTGCAACATATTGCAATACAAGAAACATGTGGCTCGTGTGCTACGATCTTTTTGATTGCTATCTGAGACCTTGGTTAAACTGGAAAAAATGCTACTAAAGTAGTGCCACTAGAACAGAGTAGTGATGTTCCCAATCATCGGTGGTGCAATTTTATACCGTAAGTGTTCTATATTCGTGACCTAATTTATTATTTTTAGTTTTGAAAATGGTGTTGCATTTTAAGTCAAAATGTGATTTCTCTTTTCATTTGTTCTTTGTTGTACATATGATGTGAATATAGGATGATTTTAGAGGTAGCCCACTACATGCACAGTCATGGAAGTTATCATGGAGATTTGAGTTGCATTGATAGTTTCGTGATGGTGGGGAGAAAGGTCAAGCTAGTTAACATCGAGAATGCGTTTCATGACATGCATGGCCCACGAGCGTTGTCACACAAGCTTTCAAATCTAAAGGCATTTCGAGATTTATTAAGGGATGAGTTGAAGCCCGAAATTGATTACGAGGATTGAGGCCTCTTTTTGGGTATTTTGATAAGTATTTTACACTAATAGTGAATCAAGGGTAAGATCTTTAATCTACGGTTGTGTTCATTCGTGTTATGGTACATGTTAATTTTGTCAAAAATAGTTGATTGTTTGTTTTTCTCCTTATGGTTTGTTCAATTACGATTATTTCGTGTGGAGGCTAATCACACATCCGTACCTTTTGAGCCCCGAAGAACGACTTGGGTACTTTTTCAAAGTGCAATGGGCCATTGTACATAGGACCATATTGCTTCCTTCAACGGTGCAACTCATTTTGGATGACAACTTTGTATGTGTTGATGGCTTTGGTCAATTCACATATTGGGTGGCAAAGATTGGAAGCAATTCGGTATTGGTTCATATCAGAGACTATAATAAGGTGCTTAATCCTTTGACCATCATAAGCATCCTTTTTATAGTCTCTGGTATGGACTAATACTGAATTGTTTCCAATCTTTGCCACCCAATCTGTGAATTGACCAAAGCCATCAACACATGCAAAGTTGTCATCCAAAATGTGTTGCACCGTTGAAGGAAGCAATATGGTCCTATGTACCATGTCCCATTGCACTTTGAAAAGAAGTATCCAAGTTGTTCTTTAGGGCTCAAAAGGTACGGATGTGTGATTGGCCTCCACACGAAATAATCGTAACTGGACAAACCATAAGGAGAAAAACAAACAATTAACTATTTTTGACAAAATTAACATGTACCATAACACAAATAAACACAACCGTAGATTAAAGATCTTACCCTTGATTCACTATTAGTGTAAAGTACTTATCAAAATACCCCAAAAAGAGGTCTCGATCCTCGCAATCAATTTTGGGCTTCAACTCATCCCTTAACAAATCTCGAAACGCCTTTAGGTCTGAAAGCTTGTGTGACAACGCTAGAGGGCCATGCATGCCGTGAAACTCATTCTTGATGTTAACTAGCTTGACCTTTTTCCCCACTATCAATGCAACTCAAATCTTCATGATAACTTCCATGACCGTGCATGTAGTGGCCAACCTCTAAAACCATCCTATATTCACATCACATGTACAACAAAGAACAAACGAGAGAAAACAAAATTGGACTTAACATGCAACACCATTTTCAAAACTAAATAGAATAAATGAGGTCACAATATGGAACACTTACTGTATAAAATTGCACCACCATGGATTGAGAACATCACTACTCCGTTCTAGTGGCACTACTTTAGTAGTATTATTTTTCCGGTTTAACCAAGGTCTCAGATAGCAATCGAAACGATCGTAGCACGAGCCACATGTTTCCTTGTGTTGCAAACCAAACCCTAAGGATTGTGTCAAAACACAAGCGGTTCCCTTGGCAGCTGTGGCACCACTTTTGGATTCCTACTCCTACCTGCATTTGTGAGAGGCATAAATCCTAGTCTCCTTACACCACCGCTCGACTTGTTCTCTCATCTCTGACGCACAACCTCTCTAGTATTTGTTCTCGACTTCAGCCTGTCTCACCTGCTTCCAGTGACCTCTCATCTAGTTCCTTTCAGGTTCATTATGCTCTTTGCGTTTCTGAATTTGGCTTTTACTTTCTTGATTTTCTTAGAAATAATTTGCATCCCCTGCTTTGACGATAGGGTGATGGACAAACCCTAAGCTTTTTTGCCCAAATTATTAAGGTCGAAACCTTGTTACTTTTGCCCCTTGTGGGGATTGAAAACTATACTCTACAAATTCAGCTCCTTCAAACCCATAATGAAATCAAAATTAGAACGGAAATTATTTAACTCTATACTTTGTTTAGTAGAGATTTCGGTTAGTATTAAGTTCAACAGCGGGTTGTCTCCTCACTTTAACAAGTAAGCAAGTTATATGAAATCTTTCACAAAACTATCAATTACTTAGACAGCCCGGTTCATTATTACATGTTTCCCAAATGATTTTGAAACCTTGTTTAATTTACTTCCCCCTTCCATCTTTGGCATAGAAAACTATAGCTCAAGGAGTGGGCAATGCATATAGTAGAGGAAGTCCAGCAAGAAGGAACTGCAATAATCTTCCAGAAAAGGTAAGCAAATGTTTAATTATGGCCATAATGTGTTGTGTGTTGGGAAATGTCATGTTGGCTTATATGTTATTAGGTATTTTGTGCAAGTGTTATTCCTTACTGGTATAAGTTCAAAGAGGGCGCATCCACATTTGATAGGTTAATTCAATTAGGCAACGGCAAAGAAAAGAAGGTGACATTTGTGATATATCCTTAAACACAAGCCAAGAGCATTGTCGCAAACACCTTGGACTTAAATCACGATGCAATCCTTATGGTTTGGTTTGCAACATATTGCAATACAAGAAATATGTGGCTCGTGTGCTACGATCGTTTCGATTGCTATCTGAGACCTTGGTTAAACCGGAAAAATAATGCTACTAAAGTAGTGCCACTAGAACATAATAGCGATGATCTCAATCCATGGTGGTGCAATTTTATATAGTAAGTGTTCCATATTCGTGACCTCATTTATTATATTTAGTTTTGAAAATGGTGTTGCATGTTAAGTCAAAATGTGATTTATCTTTTCGTTTGTTCTTTGTTGTACATGTGATGTGAATATAGAATGGTTTTAAAGGCTGCCCACTACATGCACAATCATGGAAGTTATCATGGAGATTTGAGTTGCATTGGTGGTTTCGTTATGGTGGGGAAAAATGTCAAGCTAGTTAACATCGAAAAGGGGTTTCACGGCATGCATGGCCTACGAGCATTGTCGCACAAACTTTCAAAACCTAAAGGTGTTTCAAGATTTGTTAAGGGATGAGTTGAAGCCCGAAATTGAGTGCGAGGATCAAGACCTCTTCTTTCAACTGATCATTTTACAAATCTCGAAATGCCTTAAGGCTCAAAGCTTGTGCAACAACGCCCGTGGACCATGTATGCCGTGAAACCCCTACTCGATGTTAACTAGCTTGACTTTTTTCCCCACCATCATGAAACTACCAATGCAACTCAAATCTTCATGATAACTTTCATAACTGTGCATGTAGTGGGTAGCCTCTAAAACCGTCTATATTCACATTACATGTACAACAAATAACAAACGAAAAGATAAATCACATTTTGACTTAACATGCAACACTATTTTCAAAACTAAATAGAATTAATGAGGTCACGAATATGGAACACTTACTGTATAAAATTGCACCACCATGGATTGAGATCATCACTACTCTGTTCTAGTGGCACTACTTTAGTAGCATTATTTTTCCGGTTTAACGAAGGTCTCAGATAGCAGTCGAAACGATCGTAGCACATGAGCCACATGTTTCTTGTATTGCAATATGTTGCAAACCAAATCCTGAGGATTGTGTCGTGATTTAAGCTCGAGGTGTTTGCAACAATGCTCTTGGCTTGTGTTTCAAGATATGTCACCTTCTTTTATTTGTCGTCACCTAATCGAATTAACGCATCAAATGCGGATGCGCCCTCTTTGAACTTGTACTAGTAAGGAATAACACTTGCACAAATTACTTGCAATAACATATAAGCCTACAAGACATTTGCTATTGTTGTCCAGCTTGCACATGGTATTTGCTTATAGAGCCCTAATCCTGTTGTTTGGGGCCCTGAAAATTCTGAGCTTCCTTAAGTAAATCTTTAATCTCTATTTTCTTGATATGGCATTTGCTACTGTTGTCCAGCTTGCACATGCTAAGAGGGAGAGAAAAGCTTGTAAATCTGTTTGTCTAATCCCTACGTGTTAATGTTTTCAAAACCTATTTTAATTTCTTTCCCGCTTTTATCTTTAGGATTAAAAATATAGTGCAAAGGAAATGGAATGGACGTTGCACATACTAGAGACAAAGAAACAAACCACAATGAACTCTAAGATATGGCAAGCAAATGTTTATTTATGGCCATAATGTGTTGGGAAATGCCATGTTGGCTTATATGTTATTACAAGTATTTTGTGCAAGTGTTATTCCTTACCGGTATAAGTTCAAAGAGGACGCATCCGCATTTGATGGGTTAATTCAATTAGGCGATGACAAAGAAAAGAAGGTTACATTTGTGACATATCCTGAAACACAAGCCAAGAGCATTGTCACAAACACATCGGGCTTAAATCACGACGCAATCCTCAGGGTTTGGTTTGCAAAATATTGCAATACAAGAAACATGTGGCTCGTTTGCTACGATCGTTTCGATTGCTATATGAGACCTTGGTTAAACCGGAAAAATAATGCTACTAAAGTAGTGCCATTAGAACATAGTAGTGATGATCTCAATTCATGGTGATGCAATTTTATTCAGTAAGTGTTCCATAATCGTGACCTCATTTATTATATTTAGTTTTGAAAATGGTGTTGCATGTTAAGTCAAAATGTGATTTATCTTTTTGTTTGTTCTTTGTTATACATGTGATGTGAATATAGGATGGTTTTAGAGGCTACCCACTACATACATAGTCATGGAAGTTATCATGGAGATTTGAGTTGCATTGGTAGTTTCGTGATCGTGGGGAAAAAGGTCAAGCTAGTTAACATCGAAAAGGAGTTTCACAGCATGCATGGCCTACGAGCGTTGTCGCACAAGCTTTCAAAACCTAAGGGTGTTTCAAGATTTGTTAAGGGATGAGTTGAAGCCTGAAATTGAGTACGAGGATCGAGACCTCTTCTTTCAACTGATCATTTTACAAATCTCGAAATGCCTTAAAGTCTCAAAGCTTCTGCAACAACGCTCGTGGACCATGTATGCTGTGAAACCCCTTCTCGATGTTAAGTAGCTTCACCCTTTTCCCCACCATCACGAAACTACCAATGCAACTCAAATCTCCATGATAACTTTCATAACTGTGCATTTAGTGGGCAGCCTCTAAAACCATCCTATATTCACATCACATGTACAACAAATAACAAACGAAAAGATAAATCACATTTTGACTTAACATGCAACACTATTTTCAAAACTAAATAGAATAAATGAGGTCACGAATATGGAACACTTACTGTATAAAATTGCACAACCATGGATTGAGATCATCACTACTCTGTTCTAGTGGCACTATTTTAGTAGCATTATTTTTCCGGTTTAACAAAGGCCTCAGATAGTAGTCGAAACGATCGTAGCACACAAGCCACATGTTTCTTGTATTGCAATATTTTGCAAACCAAACCCTGAGGATTGCATCGTGATTTAAGCCCGAGGTGTTTGTGACAATGCTCTAGGCTTGTGTTTCAGGATATGTCACAAATGTAACCTTTTTTTCTTTGTCGTCGCCTAATCGAATTAACGCATCAAATGCGGATGCGCCCTCTTTGAACTTGTACCAGTAAGGAATAACATTTGCACAAATTACATGCAATAACATATACGCCTACATGACATTTCCCAACACATTATGGCCGTAAATAAACATTTGCTCCGTATCTTAGAGTTCATTGTGGTTTGTTTCTTCGTCTCTAGTATGTGCAATGTCCATTCCATTTCCTTTGCACTATATTTTTAATCCTAAAGATAAAAGCGGGAAAGAAATTAAAACAGGTTTTGAACATTAACACGTAGAGATTAGCCAAACAGATTTACAAGCTTTTCTCTCCTGCTTACCATGTGCAAGCTGGACAACAGTAGCAAATGCCATATCAAGAAAATAGAGATTAAAGATTTATTTAAGGAAGGTCAGAATTTTCAGGGCCCCAAGCAACAGGATTAGGGCTCTATAAGAGAACAAGTTCAAACCTCCTAAATTAATTCATATTTATTTATTCATTTATGTAGGAAATTAAATCTCATGTACCTTGGTTGGTTTAATTATATTTATTGATTCTTATTGTTGGTGTACAAGCAAAAAATTGGTTTTGGGAAAAACTTTCCAAACCTTAACTCACAGCTTCAAGAACAAGGTCACTAAAACAAGTAAATGCATGATTATCCTCGAAATGACTATTCGAAATTTAAAGACAATTCCAATCCATACGGAAAAAAAAGGTCGTACCCAGTGCACAAGGCTCCCGCTTTACGCAGGGTCTGGGAGAGGTGAATGTCGTACCCAATCCATACAAAAAAAAAAGGTCGTACCCAATCCATACGAAAGATAGAAGAAAAAATTATTAAACCTTTCACAAAGACCTAGCTAACAGGAAGGAGAGGAGAGGAGAAAATGGTACCTGGAAACGTCAAACAAGTTGGGGTTGTAGGTTTCACCATTGAGAAACCCCAACACTCAGGTCTGCATTTCATTTCTCAACTTTGGAACTCTCTAGTCTATTAAACAAGTTGGGGTTCTAGGTTTTACAAGCCTATATTAACACAACATTTTCCCACAAAACTGAAACGTCAAACAAATTTCTGAGGAAACAAACAGTGGATGTGTAGAGAGAGAGATACCATTGTTGTGGATTGGAGGGTCGCTGGCTGTGAAGAGCAAAACGGCTGCTACTTTCTTCTTCTCGAGCAATAGAAGAAATCTAATTTATTTATCTATGGATGAAAGTTTAAATGTATGTCACGTGATGCGCTGTAATTGGTTGAAAATCTTATCAAAAATTATCCACAAAGATTCTGAATAGATAGCGTCATGTGGTGCGACATGATTGGTTAAAAATCTATCTACAAAATTCTTACTCGATCATGAAACATGGCATTACGAGATTGGTTAAAAAATTTATCGAAAATTTATCCACTAAAATTGTAATTTCAAGTAACCACACCCGGAGTGACGGATTTAGTTAAAAATAAACATGAAATTATCTTTTATTATATTTTTACTCGCATCTATCCAAGTCCTCATCATCGTAATACAAATAGCCAAAGTTTTAGAGCAAGTACAACCAATGTGGCTGGTTCAAAGCCTGTAAGAACATGAGCGATGAATGAGAGGATCCTAAAGAAGATCAGGAAATCTTTTAATCGTGTCTGTTTATCGTACATCGTGCGATCAGAAACTATTTTAATTTTTTTTTATTTAAAATTAGACACAAACAATAACTAACGAAAACTGACCGTACGATATACAATAAATAGACACAATTAAAAGATTTCCAGGATCCCTGAGAGGATCCTCATTCTTGAGTGATAACATAGAAATATTTAATTAACAATAAGGTGCTTCTAATTTGGGATCCTTCATTTGAAATTGAAATGGTTACCAAGGAAGGAACAAGGGAAAATATAACCAAAGCATCACACACTTCGCAACTATACAAATCCTGTACAGATCTCTATTCGGAGAGTAGCTACCTACTATAGCTACAGAGTCTCGAAACGGTTGTTTTCATCGACATTTCTTTCAGCGCCTGATTGTCGCCTCGAAATGCAAGGGCCATTCGCGGATCATTTTGCTGTTTTGGAGTGTTTGATAAGCCAATCAATGACGACGTCTATGTTTACGGAGTCCTTGCATGAAATCATATAGCAGCATACTTCTTTGTCCGTGATTGAATCAAGGCCTCTGAAAACACCCAATGAAAAACATCAAGTAGAAATCAGCAACAAAACGAAAATGGTGGGTGAAGTATCAACTTGTAGAATATTCTGTACTCACAGCTGATCAACCAATGCTTGCTTGGAAAGAGCCTCAGACTTGTCGATTTTGTTGCCAAGAACAAGTAACGGAATCCTGCTTAAAGAAGGTTTCATCAAGAGGTCGTGCAGCTCACTTCGAGCTATTGGAACACTGTCTCTGTCAGCAGCATCAACTACATAGCTGTGACAACATCCATCATGAAAACTATTATGTGTACGAAAAAGAATAAACTAATATGACAAGTCTTGAAATAGATTTGCCGTCTGATGAAACCATACATTGTTATCTCAAGAGAAACATATATTGTTGAAAAAAACTGATTAATGTCGCCAAAGAGAACGATAATGAATGACAGATAGCCTACTTTGTATAATACCGGATGTAAGAATAAAAGTAAGGAATCTTCGTTTTTCAATAATATAATTACCAGTTAAATTGCCATGGTTCTTAGAAGAATAAAATATCAAAAAAGAAAAAAGAGCCCAATTTCGATTCAGGATTAAGTTTCAGGAACAAAATATAATGTTCCTGCACAGTAGCAGGCATTTGCTGGTTTCCTGAAAAGCCAGAAACATCTGAAAAGCAATTGATGGCAAAAGAAAGATATGTGATATTAAAACGAGAGAAACTAAGAGATAGTAAATGACTGAAAGACTTACACAATTACAGAGACGCCACGACAGTAACGCTCCCACATTGAGCGGAACCTTCTTTGCCCTCCAAGGTCCCAAACCTTAATTGTCACGTTTCCCTTGGTTACTTTTCGCATGTTGAATCCAACCTAGTTTTCATAGAACGAATATTCGTCGTAAGTACTAGAAGTATTACTTTTCATGTTATATGCTTATTTATTTATTTATTTGATCATATAAAATGTCTGCTTAATTCCTTAGTTTGTTCAAGAGATATGCTTACGGTTGGAATCATGTCCTCACTGTAGCCCCCTGTCTGGTAAAGAAAACATAGAACGATTAATGTGAAGGGAAAGCAATTGTACATGGTATAAAGGACATGCAACGTTTGCGTTCACTCACAGCAATGGCATTTAAAAGAGATGTCTTTCCTGCATTCTGAAGCCCTACTAGTGAAAGTTCCATTTCCTGTTTAAAAAATAAGCTGACATGTACGCACACGGTTGGGTGACACAAAGTTAGCAAACTGATAAGATAAACCCAGAAACCTTTCAATTTGAAACATTTTCATAATAACAGAAAGGCGAACCCCAATAAGACTCACTGCAAACAATTTAAGGAAACGTGAAAGTATATAGAAGCCAATAGTTCTCACATGTTACAGCTTTTAAATGTTCAATCATGCCTGTATTCTAAGAAAATTACATGCTTCAACCAAAGGATCGCAGTCATCATATGCAGAATCCACAAGGATGAAAATGCATCCTCAAACTTGTCCCATATCATGTCCAACAGTTTTACTACAGTTAACACTTTCTCATGCAAGGAAATTCGGTTGTAAAACAAGTCTAATGACTCCAAGGTAGAGACCATTCTATCCTTGTATTATGTATTTTTAAATCATCATGTTCAGCCAAGAAAAGAGATACGTCTCAATGTCGCTAGACTGTTTGAACAGAAATAATAGACGACTTCAGATGAGTAGTTGGGATGGATTAGAAGGAACAAACACTTCAGGGGATAAAATAATTTAGACATGTCATAGGAATGATATGGGTTAAGAGGTTTGAGCTAGTGAGACGGAACATAGTCCATTATGCTTCAAAGTCATCGCCTTGATCGGAATCATCTAGGGATTCTAGGGACTTTCCATTTATATTGCTCATGTTTCAAGGACCTAAGAACTTATTTCACTAGACATTGCTCAATAAGAGCTACTACCTCTTCCTAGAACAGGAGAAGTATACAAAATCGAGTGTCGATATCAAGAAACAACATTAGAGAGAAAGAAGAGTTCAAATTGCTCCATCTCTTGACAAAACAATCCCAGATTATATTAGCTAAGATTTGTCAGCTAGCTTTTAATCCATTAGAATAGTTTATCAAATGAAACCAAACAGAAAGTTTTTACACTAATCTGGATCAGATGAGAACTCCTATATTTGTGTCAGGATTCTGATACAACAACAACAACAACAACAAAGCCTTTTCCCACTAAGTGGGGTCGGCTATATGAATCCTAGAACGCCATTGCGCTCGGTTTTGTGTCATGTCCTCCGTTAGATCCAAGTACTCTAAGTCTTTTCTTAGAGTCTCTTCCAAAGTTTTCCTAGGTCTTCCTCTACCCCTTTGGCCCTGAACCTCTGTCCCGTAGTCACATCTTCGAACCGGAGCGTCAGTCGGCCTTCTTTGCACATGTCCAAATCATCGGAGCCGATTTTCTCTCATCTTTCCTACAATTTCGGCTACTCCTACTTTACCTCGGATATCCTCATTCCCAATCTTATCCTTTCTCGTGTGCCCACACATCCCACGAAGCATCCTCATCTCCGCTACACCCCATTTTGTGTACGTGTTGATGCTTCACCGCCCAACATTCTGTGCCATACAACATCGCTGGCCTTATTGCCGTCCTATAAAATTTTCCCTTGAGCTTCAGTGGCCTACGACGGTCACACAACACGCCAGATGCACTCTTACACTTCATCCATCCAGCTCGTATTCTATGGTTGAGATCTCCATCTAATTCTCCGTTCTCTTGCAAGATAGATCCTAGGTAGCGAAAACGGTCGCTTTTTGTGATCTTCGCTAGATTGCTCCGGTCATTAGTGTGGATAAGTATATAAAATGGATAGAGATAGGAAAGCAAACACAAGATGTACGTGGTTCACCCAGATTGGCTACGTCCACGGAATAGAAGAGTTCTCATTAATTGTGAAGGGTTTACACAAGTACATAGGTTCAAGCTTTCCTTTAGTGAGTACAAGTGAATGATTTAGTACAAATGACATTAGGAAATATTGTGGGAGAATGATCTCGTAATCACGAAACTTCTAAGTATCGGAGTGTGGTGTCGTCTTGACTTGCCTTATCTGTCTCATAGGTAGATGTGGCATCTTCTCTGGAAGTACTCTTCCTCCATCCAGGGGTGGTATCTTTAACTGGTGGAGATGCACAAGGTAATGTATCAATTTCACTTGAAGCTTACTTGTAGTCTCAGGCTTGGTCAAGCGCGATACAAACCATGTAGTAGGAGTCTCCCAAGTCGCCGAGCTAGGGGGTCTGCTGAAAGAGGTGACAGACAAGGTAAGCAATCAGAGCTCCGACTGATTGTTCACCTTCTCCCCATCTTGCAGCAGCATGAAGGATAAAAAGAAGAAAAATGAGAAGAGATGATATGAGATACTTTTGCTTTTGAAGAAGTAACTTTCCACAGGCTTATTCTTGAACTGAGCTGGAGGGTTTTCTGGTTTCCTCCAGAGTATAAGGCCGACTGAAGAATTTGAGGGTCAAAACAAGTCCATCAAATCTAGAGTACGTTCCACCCTGCTGATATGGGATACTTTTGCTTTTGACAGAGTAATGGGTGTATCGGCACGTGTGCTGTTACGCTTGTCTCCACATGCTTCCTTGTATCCTTCGCACTTGCCCTATCTGTTCCTCAAGTAGATGCGGAATCTTCCCTGGAAACATAAGATGTTGAAGATGAGTACTCGAGAGCAATGCCAGGTAAGTAATCAGGTAAGGGGTTCCAGGCAGTCAGTTCCTGGCTGGAAGCTTGATCCAAGTGCTGACTGATTGCTCTCTTTCTCCTTGTCTTGCAGGTAAAAACAAGGCCAAAGGAAAAGATAGGGAAAAAGCATGATATGGGATACTCTTGCTTTTAACCCTGATGATATGAGATATTCTTGCTCTAGTATAGCTTGTTTGCAGAGGTATTATCGGGGGGAAAGAAAGCTGAATATTTCGAAAGGCTTCGTTGGGAGTGCCCTCTCAGATATGATGAAGGGTTGAGCATTTTTGCAGGTCTGCCTGTCCGTTGGGGATGGAGGTCGACATATATAGGAGTCTCCCTAACAACAAGTAGTAATGCTATTCCTTTACCCTGCTTGGTCATAGCACGGTAGTGGGAGCTGCCAGTTTCACATGTTTTAACTCTGTCAGAGCACTTTGAAAAAGTGGTCTGTGGTATCTGGCTCTCGAGATTCGGAGAACGATGCCTCTTCGATTTTTGAGAAAGCAATCATGCTGGGGGTCTGGCTCTCGAGATTCGTAGAGCAGTGTCTCTTCGATTTTTGAGGAAGTAATCATGTTGGGAGTCTGGCTCTCGAGATTCGGAGAGCGGTGCCTCTTCGATTTTGGAGCAAGCAATCCAGTTGGGAGTGTTGTCTCGAATGTGAGTAAAGGT